CCTAAACCCTAAAACCAAAGAGCCCTATCTGTTTAGATAAGAATTGAGCTGAGAGCTTCCTGTTGCGCCAGGTCACGGAAGTGATGCCAAAGCCAAGCCAGGTGCCAGAAGCCCAGGACTACAGAGCTGTTCAGCGTGCTTTGGGTTTAGGGGTTTAGGGTTTAGGGGTTTAGGGGTTTAGGGGTTTTATGGGTTCAGGGTTTAGGGGTTTAGGGGTTTAGGGGTTTGGGGGTTTAGGGTTTCGGTGATTAGGCCGGTTCCGGGGCGGGGGGGGGGGGGGGTTGCGGGGGGGAAGGGTCCGGACCTGTAGGATGGCGTCTGTGTGTGGTAGGTTTGCTAGCCGTAGGCCTTAAAGTAGTTCCTTTTTGGGGTTTAGGGTTAGAGTCCTATAAGGTAATCCCAAAAGGGAACTACTATGGGGCCTATGGGTAGCTTCATCATCTTGCAGGATATGTTGATGACCTAAACTTTAAAGCCGAAGACGTGTGCCTGTTCCCTAAACTCTGAGCCCTAGTCTTCACTTAAGGTCAAAACCATAAGGGTAGTTCCCTAAATTAGGGTCCCTTTCTGGGTCCCAATATAGTACGGCACCCTTATAAAAGGCACTTAAAAAGGGACCCTGGTTTAGAGAACTACCCATAAACTGATGCCTATGACCCCGCCCCGACAGGACTTGGAAGCGGACGGCATCGGTGGAATGCGAGGGCGTCTTGAGAGGAGCATGGGTGCTCACGGTTTAGGGTTTAGGGTTTAGGGTGAGTGCTCTCGGAAGCCCTTCCTGGCGCTCTTCTTGAGGAACTCGATTCGAGTCACCACGATAGGGATATATAGCACGTAACGACATGGGCTTTCCTTGTGCTGTCAGCAGTGAGACTAACCTCGCTAGCAAAACCTGTCTCGAGCTGCGTTGTTGTTAATTAACCTCTGTGTTCAGTAATTAGTTTTAGGGCTTCAGGTTTCGTGTAGCAGTTGCCCCAAGCTGCCAGGACACCCCGCTGGACTACCCACTTCTTGCCCAAAGGACGGCCGTGACTTGCACGGTCCGCTGTTTCGGGGTCTCGCACAGTCTGAGATGAGTGGTTTGTGTCCTTATTGCAAATGGGCAGTTCTCTAAATTGGGGTCCCTTTTCAGGTCCCCAATATAGTACGGCACCCTTATAAAAAGGACCCTAAAAGGGACCCCAATTTTGACAACTACCCAAATGTCTTCGTGCAGACTTGCCGCAGTGCATGTTCATTTTCTGCGAGGCCCAGAGCCCCAAACCCTCGGCACCTCATGCCCAAAGTGGTAGTGTTCAAAAGCGCATCGAGGACTGCTTCAGAAAGTTCCGCGCCACTTCGACAAGCTGTTCCAAAACGGTGATGCCTTTGCCGATGGTGTGACACCTGTCGCAAGACCGCTAGAGGGTTGGTGTGACACCTGTCGCAAGACCGCTAGAGGGTTTACTAGGGGCGCAAGGAAATTTCATATTAGACACGAGGATGTTAAGGATTGGTTCAGGTTCTCTGGTCCCTAACCCCCAAGATATGATACTTATCTTTAGGTGTTTTCTTGTGTCCTTAGTCTTGGTTGACGGAGCAGGCTTCGCCAGAAAACAGCTGACTGTCAAGAGAAGTCTGGTAACCTACGTAGTAGGTTGCTCTCCTGAAAAAGCAAAACCTACCTACACATCATTTTGGTAAATGGGTAGTTCTCTAAATTCAGGTCCCTTTTAATGTCCGTTTTATAAGGGTGACCCGAAAGGGGACCCTTAGCTTCACAGCGGCTTAAGCCCGAAGGACAATCAATGCATCATTCAACCAGTCAACCAGTCAACCAACCAGCCAGCCAAGCAAGCAAGCAAGTAAGCAACCCCCCCCCCCACCCCCACCCAACCAACCAACCAACCAATCAATCGATTAACAATTACTAAACCAACCAGCCAACAAGCAAGCTCCCAGCCACCCACCCACCCAGCCACCCACCCAGCCACCCACCCACCCACCCACCCACCCACCCACCCGCCAACCAACCAGACGATCAGCCAACCCAACCTATATTGTCTTCGGTGCTTGTGCAAAAGCACCTTACCTGCCTTAGCCATCCTGCCGGGGACACTTGGTCAACACTTGCCCACAGCGCCAGTGGAAGTATTAACGCCCTGAACAACAACGGACGTAGACGAACCACGACAGCCACCCGCCTCCCAACCCTCTCCCGGCGCCAAAGAATGACTGAACAATGTCAGCAACGCTGTTTCTTCCCACACCTCTAACCCTCACACCCTGATTCCCAAGGCCCAGTACTAAGACTTTAATCTCTCCCAAAGCCTTAAAGCCCAAACTTTTAGCGACTGTCAACTTAGATCCTAAACCCACATGAGTGCCAAATCACGACACACAATGGCGACACCGCAAAGCAGAACAAACGAAATAGCCAACCGCCGAAACTCCCGAAGCTCTAAACTCTAAGCCCTATACTCCCTGAGCCCGAAACTCTAAGCCTTTCTCCGTGAGCCGCAACTCCTAAGCCTGAAACTCTAACACCCTATAGTACCCAAACTTAACCCCTGAACACAAGCCCTAAACCTCAAATAGTGAACTGCAGGTTAGACTGAGCAGGTAACTGGGCACTTAGTTTAGAGTGTCTCTGGGCAGTTCTTTCCCTTGGAACAGCCTAGTGTGCACTCCGAAAGGAGCGAGCCTTTGATCATGCACGGGGTATGGAGAAAGGCCGCTGCACTTTAAAAAAACCCTGAACCCGAAGCCATGTAGACCCGCATCCCTACACCCCGCAACCCTTCCCTGAGCCGTAAACCCCAGAAGAATCAACCATCAACCCTTACATGAAACCCTTTTTAAATCTAAAGCCTTCAACGCAAAACCCCCAAAACCGTGAACTCACGAAACCTTTGACTCTAACCCCGAATTGCTTCAAGCGGGGCCTTCAATTCTAGACCCCCACACCCCTCAGCTTCAACTCCAAAATCCAAAAAATGCTTCAATTCAGGCCTGCAACCTTCGTCCCCAAAACCCTGAGCCCCAAACGCCGAATTCCAACACTCCTTAGCCCCAAACCCCTAAACCCGAAAACTCGAAACCCAAACCCCTGAACCCCAAGCCCCCAAGATGCTTGAATTGAGGAAGCAGGCTCCCAGTTTGAGCACCGACACAGCGCCCATCGAGTCGTTCTCTTCCTTCCGCGGATTGGCCTTTTCAAGTACGGGGGGTCTTTTCAATTCTAATTACAGGTTATTGCCATAAGGGCTCCTGCGTCATAGAAGGGTCGGTCTTTTTCCAATCCATAAGTATGATGGCACGCTGTATGCCAAATCCCCGATCTCCAGGCATCTGAGTATCTACGTCTACTCTTCCTTCCAGAAGCAGAAAGTAGACAACAGGCCTTAGTAACAGAGCGAACTCCCGCATGTAAAGCCGTTGACAAGAAGCAGGCGCAACTTTGGTTCTGTCCTAAACCCTGGGTTCTTGTTAAGAATTTAGTATTATAAGTTGCCATACTGGAGAGCTATAGTAGATTTAGATACTGGGGTTTCCTGATGATGGAAACCTGAACAAAGTTTCCTTAAAAAGAACCCTGAGAGCCTCAGAGATGGTGACAGCACATGATGAAGCCCTACCTTCAGAACCCAAAACCCAGTTTTTTGTAGGTTCTTATTTTGAAGCCTAATATGGGATTTATAGGGACCCGACAAAAAAGTAGGTTTTGGGTTCTTAAGGTAAACCTAGCCGGCCCGGTGAGGGTTCAGGGTTTAGGGTTTAGGGTTTATAAGGCGCATAAAAGTTGGGTTCAGGGTGTCCCTAAACCTAAACCCTAAACCCTAAGCCCTGAACCCGAAACCCAGAGCCCTGAACCCTAAACCCTATTCCCTAAACCCTGCAGTCACAGCGCAACGCAGCCCCATAAAGTGCTTTGCAGGCATGGTCCGAGACTCTGCAGCTTGGATTCTTTCAGACTTGAAACTACGAGTCAGGGTTTAGCGTCTAAGGTTTAGCAGCCCTAAACCCTACACTGCCTACACCCTAAATTGGGGTCGCCGTCTTGAAGATAGTGATGCATTGGTCTCGCGTGTGGTTTCTTGCATGTTCTTGCAGTCAGTCCGTGGTTGCAAGGCTGCGGCAGACAATGCATGAGTCTAGTGATGTGGCCCGACAATACAATGCTTACCCGGTCTATTCCAACGCCGCCAGGTCAGCAACATGCAGAATTCTGTCTCTATGGGCTCTGAGCACAGCATGCGGAGTGGGGTATCGAAGACGATGCGGATAGTGAGCCCGGGACAGCAAAATCCTGAGCCCCCACACCCTCCACCATAGACCGCAGGTGTTTCTGTCAGGAACTAACCTTCGTAATCCAAGACGAGCGTGTGACACTACTATCGCGGCACGACAACGTACAAACGTACGGTAAGAGTCCTGTTTTGTAGTCATATGCAATATGTCCGAAGACCCTATTCTCATTCTCTACGGTTCATACACCCTAAACCGTAAACCCTAATCATACATGCAAGCCTGAAGAAGCGCTTTAGAACCCCATTCTGGGTAGTCGAGTTGCATAGACGAGGGAAGATCTTCTGCTTCGGATTGAGCACATGCATCGTATACCTCAGGTACTGCCCCCACTCTGTTGCAGTTGAGTCATATGTATATTCTAGTTAATGAATGTGTATCTATGTATATATATATATATGTATATATATATATAGCCCTTAATATGGCCCTTTATGTTTAGACTGTTACCTTTATGTTTATTAGACTGTTACAGCTTGGGGGCAGTACCCAGTGTATGTTAGGGTTAGGGCAAGTTGTGTATCAGGATTTCTGAAGGTCGAGAAGGGTGTTTTGAAGTCGTCAGGGGTCTTTTTATTTTTGGGTTGTTTATGGGTTTAGGGTTAAGGGTTTAGGTCGAAGAGGGTCTTGAACCCTTAACCCTAAAGCCTAAAGCCCTAAACCCTAAAACTTCTTCTTCTGAGTCTGAGCGTGAGGTCCTGAGGTCCTGTGCTATGTACAAGCAGGCCAAAAGCAAACGGGCGACCACGAATTCATAAAAGACCTGAGCCTTAAACTCCTACACCCTAAGCCCCTAAACCCTACCCTAAAACCCTAAATGCTAAACCCTGAAACCCTAAAACCCCCAAGCCCTTTGTTCGTTTTGAACGGAAACGGCTTCGAGGAATCCGTGGATTTCGGTGTGAGGGGTTTGGGGCATGTGGGCCAGCTCGACACTTCAATGTGCATTTTGGATTTCAGCCGAAGAAGGATCGTAGAATTGAGGGTCTGTGCGCCCGTCCCTGTCCTTTGAGGTTTCGGCTTTCGGGTTTCGTGTTCGAGGATCGGCAGCAAAACGGTGCAAAATCGTTGGCTTCGAGGGTCCCAGGCCCGGTCTTTCCTCCGAGGATGTGCTGAATTCTGCAAACGTTCTACAGCGAACGATTTGTAAGTTGCAAGCCACACGTCCCAGAGTGTCAACTGCAGATTCCCAACATGTGACCTCTATCTGTCATGAGAGAGCAAAAGCAGGACATGCTGAAGCAAAGCCTTAAAAGAGAGAATGCATCTGCCCGCTCTCTCGCTCTGTCTCTCTCTCACTCTCTCTCTCTCTCTCTCTCTCTCTCTTTCTCGCTAATTTTGCGAAGTATTAGCATTCGCCCATTTTCATGCAACAGCGTTCTGACATCCCGTCAAACGAATTCGATGAATTCTCGGACGCTGGTAGCCGGCAGCCACCAGACTTGAAATACTACTCCCGCGCGTGCATAGACATACGTATGTGTGTACATACCTGCATAAACCGGTTTGCCCGTGAAGCTTTGGAACGGTCATAATGCTGGAAGCTCCGAACCCTCAGAATTGGAATTGGTGGTGGCGGTGAGTTCTCTAGATAGGTGGCTCCCATGCCCTAAACCCTAAACCTAAACTCTAAACCCTAACTAAACCCCTAAACCCTAAACCCCTAAACCCCTAAACCCCCAAACCCTAAACCCCTAGCCAAGGGGCGAAATGCCCACCGTCAACGAAACCCAAGCGACCGCCAGCAGCTATGGCCCTGAAATTCATGCTTTCGGGTTCTTGAGACGCGAGGGTTTAGGGTTTCGGGATGAAGGGCTGAGTTAGGGTTGGGTTAGGGTTTAGGGTTTAGGGTTTAGGGTTTAGGGTGTAGGGTTTAGGGTTTAGGGTTTAGGGTATGATGGGATGGTGATGATGCTTTTGGAATCCTGGGTGATGTAAATGTAGGATAGGTGGTCTCAGTTCTGCTGCTTGTCGTAGTGGTGAGGGTGCTTCTGGTGCTTCCCTCTGGCTTTCACCGGTATTTCTGGTGTTGTGGCACTGGTTATGGTCAGTCCTATCTGTCTTCCTCAGCTAGTCATTTGCTTCGTTACTAAATAGAGGTACCCATACCCGTTACGTCAAGGATCACCCGGAAGTCTACTTCGAAGATAGGGCAAGATGAAAGGGAACTGCACGCCAAGTAGATGCTGTTTGGGGCCCCTAAGGGCCAACATGGCACCCCAGAGTTGAAGCTTGGACGGCTGTACCCAGAGACTCCAATATCCCACTTAATTAAGGTATATGCCTTGAATCATATTAGATGGATCCCTATTCTGATTTGAGGTATAATCCTTAATTAATTAAGGGATAGTGCAGTCTCTGGGTAGAGAACAAGGCGCTACTGCCCAGAGGATTTAGTGCAGGAAGCGCTGGGATTTGCTATTCGGGTCTAGGGCGCAGCTCGAGCCGAGGTGTTGCCGACAAGGACCTTTTCAGATCTTCCACAGGCAGGTCCGGGTGGTTGTCAAAATTATGGTCCCTGTTGGGGTACCCTAAATAATAGGTGCCGTATTATAATAAGGACCCAGAAAAGGGACCCCAATTTTGACAACCACCCAGGTGGTTCTTCAAGGGTGGGCCGGTGGCTGCCGTTCTTTGGCCTTGGGTGTCACTTCAAGTTTCCTCCCGTTAGCCTTGATTCCATAACTGCGTGCATTGCACCATAAAGGAGCCTACGATTGGATCACTCTGCGGTTTATGGTTTGATAGGGCTCAGGGTTACTATGCTGGCAGCTTGCAAGCTTGATTTCAACTGTGCATCTGGGTGAACGCGACACGAAGCACGAAGAAACCCTGCATGCCTGGTTCGCCCCTACGCACAAGACTCGCAAGCCAAACTCTTAACTCTAAACCCCAAAACCCCAATTCCAAACCCTAAACCCGAACCCCTAACCCCTAAACCGCTAAACCCAAATCCCTAGACCCCTAAACCCCAAATCCCTAGACCCGCAAGCCTAGCCCTTGCACCCTGCAACCTGCAGCCTTCAACGCCCCGGGACTCAAAGTGCCGGTCATAGAGGCCGCTAGGAATAGTCACTCATATTGTTCCTTAGGGTTCCTTGCAGTAGTGTACTGTAGTATACCTCCCAAAGCCCTTGTGTAAGCATTCAGGCCCTTATGCCTTCGAACATATCAGGGCTGGATCGGGAACCTTTGGTCGAGGGATCTTGGAGTCTTGAACCCGAAATCCTCGACGGCAAACCTCGTGGTTTGAGGATAGACTCGCAAAGCTCAAAGCCGGAGATGCGTAATATAGGGGCCGAAATAAATTACCTACACTATTTTGGGGGGTTCCTGATTATAATTGTACTATGATGGGCCCCAAAACTCTATTCTAGCTATTAGGGCCCCTACAGTAAGATGGTGGATGCGAAACCCTAAACCTCAGAGCCGCTTCTGGACCCCTCCATCGCAGAGATCAGAATCGAGCGCGTAAGGTTTAGGGTTGGGGCTTTAGGGTTTTAGGATTTAGGGTTTGGGGTTTACGGTTTTAGGATTTAGGGCTGGGTGTTGATTCAAACCTAAGTGAAGCCTTCAGGCCGAGGACCCTACAGGGTTTAGGGTTTAGGGTTAGTGTCCCGAGCTTCCTAGACCTCCCAAACTGCCTTAAATAAGGAAGATACTTTAAACTATTGTAGGACTATAGTAGGATTCCTCACACATGATTTATGGTGTGTTCCCTACCCTAAACCCTAAACCCTAAACCCCTAAACCCTAAACCCTAAACCCCTAAACCCCTAAACCCCTAAACCCTAAACCCTAAACGTGTTCCCTAATGTGCAAGGATTTTGGAAGGTCTGGGTTTCATTCCCAACCCTGCAACCCGAAACCCTACGGCTGCGATGAAGAGAGATGTCGGGCTAAATGGTATAGGGTTTAGGGTATAGGGTTTAGGGTTTAGGGTTTAGGGTTTAGGGCCAAAATGTAATGGTATGGGGTTTAGGGTTTAGGGCTAAATGGTATAGGGTTCGAGGTTTAGGGCTAAATGGTATAGGGTTTAGGGCTAAAAATGGTATAAGGTTTAGGGTTTAGGGCTACATGGTACTCTAAAGCAGGCAGCGCTGACTTCCAAAGGTCCAAACAAGTCCCGAAAGCTGCTGGCATTTGGAGGGTTTGAGGTTACGTCGATCTGCAGAAGGAATCATACATTCATCCATCCCAGGCGCCAGTAGCTCCCCAGCATCTCTTAATAATGAGCACTAGCCACACGCTGATGGCATGCTTCACTCAAGTTTCGTGGCCATTGAGACATTGCTCGATTTACCCAAGCCATCTGGGGATCATCCGGGGATCGCAACCTTGTTGGACAACCTATTTGCAGCCCTGCTCCCACGAAAGTGGTGCAGCGTGGGCTTTGTGCTGTTCTCTGCGGAAGAGCCCTGGTTTGGCATCACAAAAATTGAGACGTCCATCGTGCGTCGCCGCCGTATGACAGGGTATGGTATGACAGCCTAAACCCTAAACTAAACCTTAAAGCAGTCAGGCACAGGGCTTCTGCTACGTGGCATCCGAACACCCAGTCCCTGAACCACAGCCAGGCATCTCTCGCAGCGACAGAAGACCCAGCCAATCGGCAGACACGCATTCTGCAAGAGGCGCACTTTTGAGGGTTTGGGGCCCGAGTTTTATGAGTACTCTGGAGTTGGAACATGGATGAAGGATGCGGAATCCTTTGGTTCGTTTGAGTTTATGGTGCCTGTATAGTATGGGGACTACTTGCAGCTACTATTTTCGGGGTTCCTTACCATAAGTGTACTATAATGGGCCGCAAAACCCAATTCTAATTACCTACCTACCTACCTACCTACCCACCTACCTACCTACCTACCTACCTACCCACCCACCCACCTACCACCTACCGACCGACCGACCGGAAAGGTAAATCCGTTTTTCAGGGGTCGCTGCAGTGACGATGCATGAAATTTAACTGAGGTGCTCATTTGTCTACTACATAAACACATTCTCGTCTCACCCCCCATGAAGCAGCCTAGCCTAACCATGAGGCTCTTTCGGACTAGAGTAAGGGCTGTGATGCGTGGTGACGAACAACACTCAGAATGTTGCTGGAGTACTGTTCTGTGTAGATGATATTGGTGCCCCAGGCCCGAAACCCTTCTAGAGTTGGGCTGGCTTCAATTTTCAATTCTTGTGCCATGCCAGAATCGACATGAAAAATATGGACAGAGAAGGAATGGTCCAGATGGAAAGGGCATCGGATCTTTAAGCTCTGACAGACCCTGAAACATGTACAGAGACCCCGAATCATATACAGAGAGTTTATGGTATCCTAACCCGTCTAGCATTCAAGCGATAGCGACACGGCCTTGCTTCAGGAGCCCTCTGAGGATTCAACCCGCGTTCCGATCTCAAGCAGCTACCCGCTACACCCCTAAACTTCCTAAGCGTCCTAGTTGACCCCCTAAACCCTAAACCCCTAAACCCCCTAAACCAGCCCTAGGAGCTAAAAAGAGGATTTGAGAGCCTTTACAATCTGGCAGGGGTTTAGGGTTTAGGGTTTATATAGGGGTTTAGGGTTTAGGGTTTAGGATTTGAGAGCCTTTGCAACTGGCAGGCCGAACTGCTTCCACTGCCGGCTTCCGCAGGTCAATGACACGGCGGTGCCCCGGCGACAGCATGCTTGGAGAGTGGAGGGGCGTTCAGCGTTTATCGGGTGTAGGGTGTCTTGCATTCTTTCGGGAGTTTGTATGTATATGCATATATATATATATATAGATATCTACAATCTCGTATCATATATATATATATATGTATAATATCTACAGTATACATTGCATATCATATCATTTCGTATCATACCATATCATGTCGTGTCACATCACATCATATCATACCTTATCATATCATATCACATCAATAAATACCTACGTTTAATTGCGTTGCTGGGTTTGAGTGCTTGTCGGCTTTCTGGTTAAGTTCAAGGTTAGGGGAGTCATGAGGGCAAAGAAAATGTCAGGTCTTTTCGCTTTCCCTAAGGGTCCATGTATCCATATGAGTATACTTTGACCCTAAAGTACCCATATAGGGACTACATTAAGGCCTAAGTATATACTATTCGGGTACATGGACCCTTAGGGTTTGGGATGTAAAGGGTGTGGAATGATTCCGGGGAGCCTCAGCCCTAAGAGAAAGCGTCAACAGTGCAATATAGGGGCCTAGATAATTACCTATACTACTTTGTGGGGTTCCTTATTATACTTTTAGAAAAACGGGCCCCAGAACCCTGTTCTAATTAGTAAGGCCCCTACATAATAGAGCCTTCATAGTAGCCCTTATAGAACCTCCTAAGAGGATCAGGACCCCAGAACCCTGTTCTAATTATTAAGGCCCCTACAGTATATGGGTTCTGAGACCTTGCAGATCTTTGTGATTCTGATGAAGGTGAGCAGCGACAATATTTCTCGGTCAGCTCCGGCAAAATAGTCGTAATTAGGGTTTAGGGTCGTAACTTGGGGGAGATAGTAATGACTACGAGGATAAATATCCTGCTGATGATGGTGGTGAGGATGGTGACGGTGAACAGGACGACGGGGATGAGGATGTTTATGAAGAGGAATGAGAATACCGATGGTGATGGTGAGGTTGATGATGATAAGTAGGATGAAATGACGATAACGATAAAGGTGGTTGAGCCCACAGATGGGCTTGAGCAGCTGGCCGACTGGAAACCCACCTCTCTGAGTGCAAAGCCTTGGTCCACCGTTACGAAGAGGTTGATTTTAGACAGGTCCAAAGAAGCTTGAGCAGCATGGACAAGAGTTGAACTGCTCAAGGTGATAAGTACCGAAACTACAAACCCCCGAACTCCTACTAGAACTTGGGGACTCAAGTTGTTCCAGCCGACATCAGATCCATACACGTGAAAATGTGAAGCTTCTGACTCGCCAACTGCGTGGTGTCGTGTATGTCACTCTGGCACGAAAGCTTCAAGTTTGAGCGCAGTCCCTCTCTCATGAGGAACTGGAGCTGTGTTAAGGGATGGTGAATGCTGAGGTCAGGGCTCCATCCCAAACCCCCGGCCCTACCATCCCAAGCTTTGAAACTCCACATCATCGTACACCGTCGCATGGGGGATTGATACCAGCCAGGAAGCAAAAGAGACAAAAACCAGGCGCAAGGCCCAAAACCTGAGGGACCCGAAACTTAAATGCAGGCCTCGCACGGCGAGGGTTCCGATCGTAAGGACTCAGCCCCAAGCCGAGATCACCCTGCTAAACCCTAGACCCTACTTGGAGGATCATGGGACTTAGTAAGTAAGGTTGTAAGTCCCCTAATTGGGGTTATAAGTACAGTTACCTTAGTTATAACCCTACCTACTAAGTCCCATGATCCTTTAAGTAAACTCTGAGATCCCAAGCGACAACTGGAAGCTGCTCAGGATGAGCGGAGAAGGGCAGCAGCGCTTCGAGACGGTTAGCCCCGTTGTGGAGGAGCGACACGTTGCATTGGGGCTGTTGGGCATGTATTTTCACAAGTGAGAGAATGAATGAGCGGGTGGCATGAAAGAACGAAGGAAAGAATGAATGAGGGAGTGAGTCAATGAGCCAGTGAGTGAATGAGTGAAATGAGAGGAATGCAGGAATGAAGGAATGAATGAGTGAATGGAATGGAACGGAATGGAATGAAATTTGAAAAGAAATCAATTGAGTTAAATGAAATAGAATCAACGAATGGACTGAATGAAATGAACGGGATGCATGAATAGAATGAAATGAATTGAATGCATGAATGAATGAATGAATGAATGAATGAATGAATGAATGAATGAATGAGTCCATGAATGAATGGATGAATGAGTGAATGAATGAGTGAATGAATGAATCAGTTGAATGGATGAATGGAATGGAATGGAATGGAATGGAATGGAATGGAATGGAATGGAATGGAATGGAATGGAATGGAATGGAATGAAATGAAATGAAATGAAATGAAATGAAATGAAATGAAACGAAACGAAACGAAA